GCTGTGCTCCAGCAGGTTTGCACCGGCCGGACCCACGGAAGGTTTCACAAACATGAATTCGCTGATGTCTGAGACCGGCGAAAAGCAGGAGCGGTAGCGCGGGGCGGGGGGTGCCGTGGCCATCACCTGGACGCCCATCACCGTGTCCCCTTGCTTGGGCTGGTAACGCGAGTGCCCGAATATGGGGCCGGAGGGAGGGCGCAGCGTGTCCACGCTCTCCACACAGCAGCCCCGTGCAGGGGGCGTAGAACCCCGTCGGAGATACCGCACGACCAGTGCTGCCAGTCCCACCAGAGAGACAGTGGAGATGAGGACTAGGGAAACAATCAGATAAAGCGTAATTGTGGGTAAGCCTCCGCTGTCTGTGGCCTGAGCCTCAGAGCCCTGCAAGGCCTCTGGACCCTTCTCCTCCACCAGCACCACCAGCGTGACAGCAGTGGAGAGAGGAGGCTCTCCGCTGTCCCGGACCACCACAAGCAGTTCATGCGCTGAGGCATCATTTTCCTGCAGGGCCCGCATGATCCGGATCTCCCCAGAGCGCAGGGCCACACTGAAGAGCCCGGGGTCCGTGGCTTCCACAAGGTGGTAAGAGAGCCAAGCATTGCGCCCCGAGTCAGCATCCATTGCCACCACTTTGGTGATGAGAGCAGGGGGGTAGGTGAAGGGTGAAATTCGGAACTGGGCCGCAGAGTCCTCCTCAATCCTAGGGAAATGCACCTTTGGAGCATTGTCATTCTGGTCCGCTATGAAGACGTGAACAAGCGTCCTGTTTCTGAGGGCTGGAGAACCACCATCAGAAACCTCCACATGGAACTGGAAATAGGTGGTTTGCTCATAGTCAAAGGGGAGTTTGGCTGAGACCCGTCCACTTGTGGGATGGATGGAGAGGTAGCGAGTTGGATCCAGACCTGGATCTGTCCCACCAACTCGCAGGATGGAGTAGGAAAGGCGTGAATTCTGCTCTGAGTCAGGGTCAACAGCAGAGACAATGATGAGCACGCTGCCCACTGGATTGTTTTCTGCCACCAACACTTCGTAGGATGCTTGCTCAAACTGCGGCGCGTTGTCATTGATATCAGCAAGGGCAATTGGCAAGATGGTTTGCTGGGAAAGTGGGGGGCTCCCCATATCCGAGGCAGAGATGGTGACATTGTAGAAGGCAACGTGTTCCCGATCCAAATAGGTTCTGGTTAGCAGTGAGTATTGGTGCTCAAAGTCTTTACGCAATTGGAAGGGAAGATCTGGAGACACGTGGCACTGAACCTTGCCCTGCTCCCCAGAGTCCTTGTCTCTGACATGTATCACAGCCACCACTGTGCCCGGCAGAGCATCTTCACTCAGGGAGCTGGAGAAGGAGGTAAGAATGACCTCAGGGGCATTGTCATTCACATCAACGATTTCCACAACCACGCTGCAGTGTTCCTCCATTGTGGGTGATCCCATGTCCTTGGCCTCCACCTCTATTTCATACACCGTTGCCTCCTCAAAGTCCAGCTTGCCCTGCACACGGATCTCCCCAGTTTGCTCATCAATAGCAAACATCTGGCGCAAGGCAGCTGAGTTGTGACTGCTGAGGGAGTAACGGATGTCTCCATTGGGCCCTTCATCCACATCGGTGGCGTTTAACTTCACGACGAGAGTGCCCACTGGGGAGTTCTCCACCAAGCGGGCTCCGTATGATGGTTTGTCAAAGACTGGGTGGTTGTCATTGGCATCCAGGACCTGAATAGTGATGTGCATCTTGCTGGAGCGGGGGGGAGACCCCCCATCCTCAGCAGTCAGCACCAGGCGGTGGACAGCTCTTAGCTCCCGGTCCAGGGCCCTCTCCAGCACCAGCTCAGGGAACTTCCCGCCATCTGTCCGTGCCTTCACATTGAGGTTGAAGTTGTCGTTGGCACTCAGGTGGTAGGTCTGCAAGGTGTTGGTGCCCACATCAGAGTCCTGGGCAGGCTGGATGGGAAAGCGGGCACCCAGTGACGCCAGCTCGTAGATGCGCAAGGAGACCTCAGCACTCGGGAACTCGGGCGGGTTGTCATTGATATCCAGGATCTCCACCTCAATGCGGTAAAATTCCACAGGGTTCTCGATGGCAAGTTTCAAGTGGAGGAAGCAGCGGGGGTTCTGCCCGCAGAGCTGCTCCCGGTCTATGCGCTCGCTGACCATTATAACCCCAGTGTTCACATTGACAGAGAAGTACTGAGAATCCGAATCAGACAGTACCTGCAGGTTAGCTGCCGCCAGCTTTGCCACATCCGTGCCCAAGTCCTTAGCAATATTGCCCACGAAGGCGCCCCGGGTGAGCTCCTCCGGGATGGTGTAGCGGATCTGGGCAGAGGAGCTGTGCAAGAACAAACAGAAAGAGAAGACACGCGGCAGTCCCAGGGACCAGCCCGCCTTTCCTGCGCTCAGCA